GGGAAATGGGAGGCGGGGAGGAGGCAGAAATTTTTTTTCAATAAAAAATTATATTTAAAAAAAAAGAAAACCAGTCTATAGATCAGTCCCAAAGAAACTAGACAACAATGAGGACCCTAAGAGAGACATATATGGATCTAATGTACATGGGAAGTAGAAAAAGACAACATCTCCTGAGTAAATTGGGAGCATGGAGACCACGGAAGAGGGTTGAAGGGGAGGGATGAGACAGGGAGTGGAGCATAGAAAATTGTATAGCTCAATAAAATCAATAAAAAAGAAAAAAATAAAATAAAAAAAAACTTGGTAAGAAGTAAAAATGTGTTTCTCTGCTACAGAGAGTTTATAAAACTATACCAACAATTTAATCCGATTCAAAGACTAAACGTTGACTAAATGCCAATGAATTAGAATTTCTTTTGTGAAAAAAAAATGTTTCTATGAAAGAAGAACGAGTGATGGGGAAATGGGACTTGAGTGGACAGTTGTCACCTGACTTAATTGAAGTATATCAATTAATAATCAAGTGTCTGATAGTAGATGTTCTTCCTACTATAAAACAGCTTTCTATTGTTATAAAAAGTTATTACCGAGGAAAATAGCCCCTTCCCACCACTTAATTATAATTGTGTTCATTTTTCTTGCCTCTGGCTATAATTATAAGATTACTACTAAAGTAAAATATGAATTTAGTTATAAAATCACCATCCTTCTGAAATTATTTTTATTGCTTCAATTTCTTGCATGGGAGCACAATATAAATTATGTAGAAACATTTGTTCTAAAAAGCATTTTGGTTGCTAGACTTACTGCAATGGCCTCTTTGCACAGTCCTGGGCATGGACTGGCATGACTGACAGGTTGTGGAGATTTTTCACAGAAAAAATTACAAGAAAAGATGCTAAATACTACGTTAGAGACATTGGCTTGACTGTGTAAGTGAAGCACAGATGCTGGACCAAAACACGGGCGTGATGATTTCCTAAGAAACGTCCAGAGCGTGTGAAATCTCAAGCCTATTTCAGGGATACAGATCCCACAATCCTGTCTGTACTAGCAGTCTCCAGACTGGTTTAGAGGCAACCAATCAGCAGGAGCTATGCTCAGTGTTTCTAGGAACACAGCATGGACAGGGCTATTATGCTTCCCCGCACAGAGGCTGTTGGGATGGCAAACATGTAATCTGGCAAACATGCCATTGACTCCACCCCACAGGTTTTAGCCAAACAAAATCCCCAGCTTTAGCTGGCTTGACTGTTCACTTATTAATATAGGAAGCAGAGGGAGCCAAGTAGATACTCAACCCTGATAGAGAGGTGGCTACATCTGACAACCAAATGAAAGGTAAAGGGGAAGAGAAGAGGAGGAAGACTTGTTTGGTGGTCAAAAGAAATGCCTGAAGTTTTTCCAGGGCACTGAATTACAGGGCAAACTGCACTGCCTTAGGTAATCATGCAATCTGTCCTTCACATGTAGTCTTGTATTTGTAGCATGCTCAGTGGTGTTTGCTTATGCACGGTGGCACCCTGTGAGGGAAGATGCATAGCAAGGAACTTCACTTGCCACTCACCAGCCTTGTCGCACGTTCCCTTATCTCCCCACCCAGGCAGCAAGCACTGCCATATAAATACACATCTAAAGGCATGCCCAGGGATTTCAGTACCCATTTCTGAAAGCCAACAATGGTCTTTCCTAACACAGTGAGGTAGGAAATGATATGATATCCCAAACAACCATAGCCAGAGGAAGTCAAAGCGATAAACGCGAGTTGCAGCCAATAAAGTGGGGAAAACCCCAGCTACTGAAGCTGCCTAACTGAGAAACATGCTCCATGGTCGCTCCACAGCGCTTGCTTGGCTTCCAGCAGCTCAGTCACACATAGTGCTCCGTGCTTGCTGTAGAAATTAGCTCTGGCAGAAAAATTGTACCTGAGAAATATCATAAACACATCCTGACATTATGCACTTTCGCCATTATCCTTACCTGCACCAGAAGTGCATTTGGCACCAAAAAAGCAGCCACAACTGCCCCCTAAACTTCAGGGTGAGGACTCTTGTCTGATGGTTTTTCTGGGACATTGCTTTAAAAGACAGACACTGGCACAGCATGGGATGATTGTAAAGTGGTTTCTGCCTATCATCTTAAATGAAAGCTTGTTTCTACATGCATTCTTCTCAGCAACTCACTCAAAAGACAAAACAACAGCAGACTTCTATTTATCCCCTTCAGTGGATGCTATTCTTAGCCACTATACATTGACGCCACTATACATAGGAGTATATGGTGGAGGGAAATGCCTTCCATAAACGTTTCCCCTAAAGAAATTCTGCAAAGCATAAATGAACACTAAATCCAGGCTGAAGAACTTCTGATTTTGCTAACTTAGTTGTAGCTTAGCATTAAGACTCAGTGGAGTTTCCTTTATATTAAATTCCATTTAATTAGACACCATTGCAGCTGGAGCTCCTTGTGGCTGGTGGTAGAGTTTAATATTGGTTGGGAAACAATTTAGCAGTTATGTATAAAGTTCAGCCTAGAGTGTCATTGCAACCCCACATCCCATACCATATGTAGACATTGACTAAAAAATAAAAAAACATATGCTGGTTTTCTTTCAAAAACAAACAAACAAACAAAAAAAGACTCAATGGAGTAATTTTAAACTGTGTGATTGCCCCCTGGTGGTCAATGTGTGTTAGTTGCTGAGCAGACAGCCTACCTCCTTTAGTTTTATTGGAAAATTGCTGTGCATTTTTAGCCAGATAATGATAATTTATGTCTTAAGTCTTCTACAGACATGTTTTTAATACTTTATATAATGTATGTATATATATATATGTGTGTGTGTGTGTGTGTGTGTGTGTGTGTGTGTGTGTGTGTGTGTGTATGAAACCACATATGCAATGAAGTTAGCAAGCGTCTAAACAATAAGAAATCAATTTTCTGGGATGAATCTCAGTAACACGTTTTTCTTTTAGGATGACTCATTTAAGATGAGGGGATGTGTCATGAGCCAGCACTTAGATTTTGTACCTTAGCTAAATTATCATTCATGTTTCCAAATACTCAGAATTACAGGTTGTTAAGAAATACCAGTGAGTCCTGTACAACCATCTCACTTCCCATGGAGCTATACGAAAACACTTCAGTCTGAGGTTAGCCCAGCAGATTTCCAGGTCTCATGACCTTCATAGTGACATTAATGTCTTTTTCTCAAGATGGAGAATGAATAATGGGGATGTTGACCTGACGAATGACCGATACAGTATGGTAGGCGGAAACCTTGTCATCAACAACCCTGACAAGCAGAAAGACGCTGGGATATACTACTGCTTGGCATCCAATAACTATGGGATGGTCAGAAGCACGGAGGCGACCCTGAGTTTTGGATGTAAGTAATCATCACCTTTTTAAAGGGTGGGTTTATTTGTGTGGAATGGAATTACAAGTGTTTTGATTATTGATAAAGGTCTGTATAAATTGGGGTTTAATTTTGCGAAGGTAACTATCTCTGCTTTTTTCTTTCATGAAAAGTACTTCTCCTGGAAAGATGTTTCAGGGGTTAAGTACATTAACTACTCTTGAGAAGCACCAAGTTCAGTTCCCAGCACCCATGCTGAGTGGTTTACAACTGCAATAACTCCAACTCCATGGCATTCAGTGCCCTCTTCTGGCTTCCATGGGTAGAAAGCAAACACACCCACATACAGACAACTGCCAAATATGACATATATTTACACAAACATACACATACTCACACGCACACACATACACACACACCCATCAAATATCACGTCTATTTACACAAACATACACATGCACACATACTCTCACATATAAGTAAAATTAAAAACTCTTGTCCCTATGAACATGAACCCTCCTACCTCATCATTCCAACCGTAGTGACACTGTGTGGCTTATTAAAGAAGTCACATGACCGGCTCAATTAGAGGTGGCAGGTTGGTGGCGGTGACATGAGTAACACGCTTGTGAAATTTCAATTAAGATAGGGTAATTCTGAGCTACTGTCATGCTAAGTGTTCAGCAAAGAGAAAAAAAAAAACGAGAAAGCAGGCTGCTGGCAAGATGTGCCATAGAAGAAACCCATTGTACAGGGTAGTGTGATTTGCATGGTAAGTTCAGCTTAGGCACAGCACCATGAGTGTTGTAAAGATGATGGAAGAGAAAACGGGACTAAATGGTGAAGAGTGCTGGACGGTTCTCTGCAATCTAGCATCAATGAAATTATGCCAGCATGAAGGCCCTCATGGGGTGAGAATTATCTATTAGGAAAAAGTCCGAGATATGCAAAGTACCCTGTGCCTCTCCTAACCCCTCCTCCCCCATCCCTGAAATTATCTGGCTCTTCAGTGTTTTACTTCTGTGGGCTACATCTATGTGGCTATTCACAGATTAATAAAGATGGGCTAGTTTAAGATGTAAGAGTTAGCCTATTATAAGTTAGAACTAACTAATAGGCCAAGCAATCATTTAATTAATACAGTTTTTGTGTGATTATTTTGGGAGTCTGGCCGGCTGGGAGACAAACACGTGTATCCTACTACAAGACAACATTCCATTAAAAGGGGCGCTGATTACAGTTATACAACTCCAGTTTGTGATTTTATATCATTTTCAATCTTTGCTAAATACATTATAGGGTGAAAACCATGTTTCAAGAAAGCAGAACCATCACCAGGAAGGGTGAGACAGGTCAAGACACAAAGATATTAAAGCAATGAGCATTGTAGATAAAACACATCCAACTAGAAAAAGAATTCAGTACTCACACTGCACTAAAGCTTTTTAGATTTAATTTTCAAAGAAAGCCAAGTTAAGAGACAGACACACTCTTCTCTTACTGCAGTAGCATGGAAGCTAGAGAAATAACTTGAAGGTGGGACTGAGCATGTGAGTTTCTGTTCCACAAGCAGAGATTAACGGAGCTTTGCCAAGTTTAAATAAATGTCAAACGAGCAGTCTGGAAAGGGCACACAGGTGCCATTAGCACCTCCAGTCCAGAGATGTGGCTTTGGGATTTCCTCTGGGAAAATATGACAGGAAGAGCACACAGGTTTCCAGAGACAGGCAGTGTGTTAAGCAGAGTTAAAAGTAAGTATTGTGATTTGGGTATGGAGCACAAAAAGAGAAGGAGAGGAAGAAATTAATGAGAACCATTATCGGTCAAAGAAAGGAAGAACCTAAGCACTTAAGGATCAGGAAATCAAACAAAATGTAAGTTTTAAGCACATAGAAAAAAAGAGATTGGGGTTGGGGTCTGGGTTGTGTGGATCACTTTCCCGTTGTCCCCTGTGTTCCTTCCTCAGCTCCTTTCACTGAATCTCCAAGCATTGGCCAGAAGGGATGCACACCTGTCTTTCCTCTCTAGTTTCTGCAGCTCTTTGTCTTTGACTGACCTCACTGTATTTCTCACTGGTCTTCACTGAGAACCTCCCTAACCCCAAAGGAACATTTTTGGGTTAGCTGGAAATTTCATGGTTGTTGGAATTGTGCAGGGTGCTCTGAGTCCATGACGGAACTGTATGGCACGTGCCAATCCCAGCTGTGAAAACAAGATGCTTTGTACGGGTGTCCAGAGCCAGCTCAGCTCTGCCATATCGTACATGCAAGTTACAGAAAGATCACACTTAACAAACATCTCTTTCTCCGGAGCAGAGTGAACATTTTCCTTTTCCCTTTGAAAACTAGATCTCGACCCCTTTCCTCCTGAGGAGCGTCCGGAGGTGAAAGTGAAGGAAGGGAAAGGCATGGTGCTTCTCTGTGACCCTCCATACCACTTTCCAGGTAAGTGGGGTTTCCCGAACTATAGACCCCTCGGGAAGGAAAGGCCATGGTGCTTCTCTGCGACCCTCTGTACTGCTTTCCAAGTAAATGGAGTTTCTAGAACTATAGACACTTCAGGAATTAAATCAGGACATCTGAGTGTTCTGGTAATGATAATACGCTAACAATTACTTAATTTATCTAACAATCATGGCCCTTCATTAATTTAATGAGATTCATTCTTTGCATTTCTGCTGTGAACTTTTCCTGGGGGACAAACATCTCACTATGGACAGGACATTCATCTAAGAAAGTATTTCACCCAAGAGTAGCTTGGTGAAGCAGTGAGTTTAACTAGTATCCCTTAGCGGGACACAGGAGAGGTGTCGTTTACATAAGCCTGGAGAACAGCTACACCACTGAAGAAAACGCCTTTCCTCCAGGAGCCACTAACTCCCTATAAGATAATTATATGTTGGGAAGGGATGGAGCTTTGTGAGCCCTTCTAGAAAGTTAAGTGAATCAGCCTCAAGCAGAGTAAACACATCCAAGGAGCATTCCGTAGAACAATGTCTGTACCATACCCAGAGTACAGCATTCTGCAACAGCGTCACTTGGTGGCCATCACTTATAAGCGGTTGTAGATGCTTTTCTATCTGGGTTCCTTAGTCACTTGGCCCTAAACCTAAGTGTTTCTAGTCATTTTAGTTTATAAACAGTAGCTATGCTGGATTGTACCTTATAAGTTTCTACCACAAAAGAGAAATTACGGAAGATTTTCCAGAACTTATGTTGAATATTCATAAATAGAAGAGCACTGAGGAATGATGTAAGATCAATCAGTTTTTCAACTTCATATTTGCAATACATTGTGATTTATAACTAAGCACTACATGATAAATTATTAATGTTCTTAGAGTCACTGATCTATGAGAATAATTGTGTACCTCAGAAAGAGAACAAAATTAAAAATCATCTGTTAAAATTTCAATTTTGAATACATATTTCTTTCATTAGATATGGTTAAAAGAACGGTTGTTATAAAATATATTCACAGTCTTGTTTTCATTTGTTTCATATATTCCCTGAAAAGGAAATGTTTTATGTTCTTTATATTTTATTTTTTTTTTTTTTCAAATGTTGCAAGTCTCATCTATTTCCTTTTTGAAAATACACAGATCGATGAAATTATCAAACATAGTAATAGTACTAGGGTATGACAGTTAATGTTTGTCTTTTTTTTTTTTTGAGCCTTTTAATCCCATGAGTCAACACTGTACAAAGAACTTTCCTGCAATAAAAAAAAGTTGATATTTTGAATGTGACTTAAAACATATCCATAGAAAATCAAACAGAACACTCTGCTGTACGTAATTTTGTGTGGAATGTACTGACTTTGTATGTATTCCTAGACATATAGACATCTATATTTCATACAAAATTATGCACATATATTACATGTAAATTTTCATTTATGTGAAATTTCATTATGCATATATGAAAATTACACATATATTTTCTTATAAAATACTTGTAATTTTCTCTGTACTCCAAAAAAATCCAATTAATTAGCTCATATAGGAGGGGCCTATGTACAGTGTTACAGCAGGATTCCATCAGAGGATAGATTTTTGCTGAGGAACTGCCGAAAACATGAGCAAATCCCTCTCCTCTTCATAGTATTTCCCACAAACAAGGCAATGGGTGAGCTCCATTGACTAAGAAACCCCTGTGAGCACTTCCCCTCTCTTAGACACTGCTCATTTCAGAGGACACCCCAGTGGAACAGAACAATAAAAGCCACCAGCCCTCAGAGACCCTCTGCTGTGACAGGAGTCCTTAAAGGTACAGGATAAAAGAGAGGGAGAAGAAGAGGAAAGGGTAGGGGATAATTTAGATTTTAGAAGGGCCTTGGCAGGAAGGAGCTCTTGACTAAAACCATAAAGATGTGAAGGAGCCAATGGTATAAGCATCTGAGATGACATTCCAGAAGGGAGAGGCAACAAGAGCAAAGGCTGAGGTAGGACCCTGGGTGCAATGCAAGGCAGAGTATCTGCAGCAGAGGGGATAACGTAGAAGGCAGTAAGAAATGCAATGGAGGTTCCGGGAGCTGTGCTGTGGAGGAGATGACGTAGAAGGCAATAAGACATGCAATGGAGGTTCTGGGAGCTGTGCTGTGGACGGAATAACATGGAAGGCAGTAAGACATGCAATGGAGGTTCCAGGACCTGTGCTGTGGAGGGGATGATGTGGAAGACAGTAAGAAATGCAATGGAGGTTCCGGGAGGTGTGCTGTGGAGGACCTTATCATACATGCATAGCAACCATGTGCTTTAACTTTTAGTGATATTTGCATTCAGAATGTTGAACAGAGGAGTCACATGACATGAGTGGTTACCACTTTAAGGTGGTTAGAGCAGGCTTCTCAGGGGTTGTACATCAGATTCATAACAGTAGCAAAATTAGGAGGAAATTCCTTTTCCCCCTTTGCTTGACATTTTGTTTTCTAAATTTATTACATACAATATTGTGACGGTTTGAATGTAATTGGCCCCATAAGCTCATAGGGAGTGGCACTTTTGGGAGGTGTGATCTTGTTGAAGAAAGTGTGTCACTGTGGGGGCAGGCTTTGAGGTCTCTTTTGCTTAAGTGTCATACTCTGCTTCCTGTTGCCTTCTGATAAAGATGTAGCCAGCACCATGTCGACCAGCATGCTGCCATGCTCCCTGCCATGATGGTAATAATGATAATAGGTTAAACCTCTGAAACTGTAATCCATTTCCTCAAACTCTTTATAAGTTTGTAAAGGTTGCTGTAGTCACAGTGTCTCTTCACAGCAGTAGAAACCCTCAGACAAATATATTTTATAGTGTCCTTTCCATTTCCAAGATTGGTGCATCTCCAATCCTCTCCACCCCCTACCCACTTAACTTCATATTCTTGCTCCCTTCCTCCCCCTTCCATTTTTCCTCCCTTCCCCTCTCTCTGTTTGCCTCTCTTCCTGAAAACAAAAGCAGCAAAAAGTTAATACACAATAACCCCCCTCCAGAAAAGACAAAAAGTAACAAAACAAAATACACACAGATACACACACTCAAACAAAAAAAACATAGAATAGATTTTATGTTTGTCAATTACTCCTGGGCATGAAGACTAACCTGGAGTGTGGTTGATGCACCAAGTAACAGTAACAAGGCACTGGAATAAAACTTATTTTCCCATTCCCATCAGATATCAATTGTAAATAGCTTTTTTTGGGACTTGGGCTCACTTCTATTTCTCACTTCTTGGATTTATTGTTGATCAAACTTACGCAAGTCTTATGCATGCCATAACAATTCCTGTGAGCTTATGTGTGTATCAGTCCTGCTGTGTCTAGAAGATACTGTTTCCTTGGTGACATCTGCCACCTCTGGTTCTTACAATCTTTTTTTTTTCTCCTCTTCCCCTTTGATCCCTGAGTCTTGACAGAAGGCATTTGACTAAGGCTGAGTGCTCCAAAGTCTCTCATCATCTGCACATTGTCTACTTGTGGGACTTGGTGTCAGTTCTATACTGCAAGAAGAAGCTTTTATGATGAGGGCTGAATGAGGAAATGATTTAAGTTTATATCAGAATATCATTACAAATAATTTTATTGCTGTGTTCCTTTAGCAGAATATTAGTTATATGTTGTCTTAGGGTTTCTGTTGCTGTGAAGAAACACCATAACCAAAAAGCAAGATTGGGAGGAAACAGTTTATTCAACTTACTCTTCCTCCTCATTGCTCACGAGCAAAAGAAGACAGGACAGGAACTGTAGAGGCCATGGTAGGGCCCGGGATGGCAGGGGGAGTTGCTGCTTACTGGCTTTCTTCCCATGACTTGCTCAATCCACTTTCTTAGAGAACCCAAAACCACTAGCCCAATGAAATGAAAAGAAGAATGTTGAGACTCTCGAAAGTACTAGCTATAGATGATCAATAGATACAGAAATATAGATTCAGTTGTTCACCATGACAATTATGTTCTTGAGAATATGGTAGTTATGAGAAAATATCTCAACTTCTAATAGTTACGTATTTGTAGCCACTGACAGTTGACTTGTAATTAGGAAGCAGAAACTTTATTTTCAGAGAAAAGCTTAATATTTAGTGGGCAATATTGTCTTGTAGATGACCTTAGCTACCGCTGGCTCCTGAATGAATTCCCTGTATTTATCACAATGGACAAGCGAAGGTTTGTGTCTCAGACCAACGGCAATCTCTACATTGCAAATGTTGAGGCTTCTGATAGAGGCAACTACTCCTGCTTTGTGTCCAGCCCTTCCATTACAAAAAGTGTGTTCAGCAAGTTTATTCCCCTCATCCCAATACCTGAACGTAAGTATTTTATTTGTTATGCTGTTTTTGCAGTTGTCTGTTTAAAGTGCATTTATAATAATGACTCATTGTTTTCCTGTGGAGGGCAGCATGTAGTGTATGCTGGAGGGAAGACTTAGTCTTTAGTTTCTCAAGTTCGGTTTTGTTTTGTTTTTTTGTTTGTTTGTTTGTTTGTTTTGAAGTTTGGTTTTACTCAGTAAAGTTTCCCAAAAATGGGTGAGTTCATGTTCATCACTTGCGGGTTAGGAAGTATATGGAAGGTTGATTCATTGGTTCAGGGCCCTACAGAATTGTCACAGAAATGACTGGGATCTGCTTTCTGTTTCATGACCATTTTTACTCTCTGGGACATTTGTAATGAGACTAAACACTTAAGTCAAATTTTAAAAAAAAGTAATTAGATAATTAGAAAAAAATAATTATTTTGGGAACTATTTACATGGTACAAGCTGAAAGAAACAATCGCTATTTGTGCTTTAAGTAATTAGTGTATACTACTGTGGCCTGTGTGCTGGGGTCATTCTCCAACTCCATTTTTAATTTCAATTTTTTTTCCATAATTTTTTAGCACTCCTTGAGGTGCGCTTTATCACATCACAGCTTGTGTGTTTCCCTTATCCCATCTTCACCCCAGCTCTTCTGCTGCTTTAGGAGTGAAGAGTACCCCTTCAAAACGGTCCTGTCTGCTTCCTCTCCTTCCGTAGCGTGGGAAGTGCCACGGTTCCACTGGCCTTCCCCCTTCACTTCTTGTAAGGAAACAGTCACTTGATAGTCAGCAAACACTGCTGACGTTCTGGCTGGACAGTCCTGGCCACAAGGCTAAACAAGCTGTCTGGAAAGGGGCCTTGCTCACCTCTCCCACTCGGTTTCACGTTTGTGTCTTCCCTCCGTCTTCTACCCATTTTCTCACTTCCTGTCTCAGCTGTGCACCGACGTCGCCTTCTACAGTCAACCCCTTCGGTTGCTCTGGCTCACGCCCCACCTGGTTCAGGGTGACAGCACATGGCTCATTTCTTTTCCTTTACCATCTCAGGATCCGGCCTCCTCCCTCTCTGTATTCGCTCCTAGTCAGTGAAGGCCATCTGGAAAAAGCCTAAGAAACTCTCATTCATCCAATCAAAGGACAGTTTTCAGTGCCCATTCTTTTCGGTTATTTGAAAATTTTTATCTGCCTCTCAGAGAGTTCCTTCTCCTTTCCTCAAGGCTCACTTCACCCCTCCGGCAAGCATGAATCACAAGATGTCCCTCTTCCCCATACCCCTCTGCCGTCGTTTCTAGATATTCTCCCTGAACTACACATTTTCAGAAGTGTTCATGCAAATTCACGTCTCTATTTTTTTTTCCTTGTGTTTAGGCTTTAGTTATATCTTCATCCTAGACTTGTCCCCCAAAGCGCTCCAGAATGCTGAGTGTTCAAGACGTGCTCGCTACTGTCCCAGCAAAACAACTTCTTCCTCCTAGCCTTCTTCAGCCTGATTGGCCATAACATAACTTCTTGTGTTTCCTAACAAGTAACATTTGCATTTATCAATTCTTCCCTTCCTCTGATGCTCAGAACAGCTAACCCTGTGGCTTTTAGTTAAATCAGTATGTAAGCCACTGGAAAGTTCTAGAAAAAAAAAATGCAATGCAGATTCTGACTCCAAAAGGCTTAAATCTGGCATCAAGGTCCCACTTTGAGCCAAGGGTAAGAACTATACTACTCTTACCAAATCCCACTGCTGTTTACTATTAACAAAACTGATCTCAAAACTTCTAATACCAGGTTTGGGGCCTTCCGTGTTATGTAATCAGCTTTTCCTTAGGTCGTACATTTTAACGTCCTTTGGCTTCCTCTGTCTTTTCTTTAATTCTGAGCTTTGTAATGATCTGGTTCAGTTCAGTTTCTATTTTTGCTTAGGGTTCCCATATCCGCTCTGACATTCTGAATCCCTTATTTGCTGACCCCTCTTTTAGACTAATTATTTGGTTTTGCCTTCTGTATTGCCGTCGTATGTTTTTTTGTTTATTTTTATGCAGTATAAAGTACACACTCATGCTTTGGTGGATAATAACACATTAGGCTTTTTGGAGTCTGGTTTGTCGGCACATATTTCAGGGCCTCTGGTGTGATGCACCATGATGGCACACGGTATCTGTGATGTCACCTTACCACTCTAAGAGTAAGAATGATGGTCATGTTATGGTCATGGCCTCCTGAGCATAATTCCTTCTTCCATTTTCTCTTTGCCTAATCCACCTTGTTCTCCCCCTTTCTTCTCTTTCTTCTCTTCCAATTTTCATATTCCCATTTCTCTCTTGTTGTTCCACCTTCTCACATGCCTTATTGGACTGCTCAGTGTTTCATATGTATTTGAAGCCCCCTTAATGAGACCTTGAAATTCTGTAGCTGATGTAGTGTAACTAGTTGCAGGTGATTGTGTGATGGAATTTCCCCTTGCCCACATTGTGCACAAACAAATCTATATATTGGGACACCAACAATATCTATATCGAGAAAAACTTTTCGTATTGGTGCAGTTCTAAACTACAACATTTCATGATGCTAAAAAGGAAAACAATGCATTGTGAATAATATACCGTGGGTGTCTGTGTTTTCTTCTCTTTTTAATATTAGGAACCACAAAGCCATATCCTGCTGATATTGTAGTGCAGTTTAAGGACATCTATACCATGATGGGCCAAAACGTGACTTTAGAGTGTTTTGCTCTTGGAAAGTAAGTATGCGTGTGCTTTTCACTGACATGCATCAAAACAGAGAAGGTTTTGTGCCGTCTCAGAAAATAAATGATACAAGAGCTGGCTGTAAGTGCCAGGCAGTCTTCTGTAAGCCCTGCGGACCTGGAGATTTTATACCTTCTCTTCCTAGCCCTGTTCCTGACATCCGGTGGCGGAAGGTGCTAGAGCCAATGCCCAGCACGGCTGAAATAAGCACCTCGGGGGCTGTTCTCAAGATCTTTAATATCCAGTTAGAAGATGAAGGCATCTACGAATGCGAGGCCGAGAACATCCGGGGAAAGGACAAGCACCAGGCAAAAATTTACGTTCACGGTAGGTATTTTAATTATCCACGATCGCCGTCAATGTCTCATTCAAAGACTTTTCCTTACTGGAAGAGCTATTACAGAATAATTATTTGAAAACATGTGACTTATATCATATTGTTCAGATAAGTTAGATGTTTACCTTATGTCATTACATCTGCAGCTCTGAGTTACAGCCAATATGAATGTATACTTTTGATATCATGATTATAATAATAGACTGATAGTTGTTGGTGATTTTAAATGTTGCTCATTTAATCCTCTATCATTCTCTTTTCTTCGGTATCTTTATTTATAGCAGAACCTATGCATTATGGCTTAAAGTTTGAGTCAGAGGTTTGCAAGGTTTAAATTCCCTGAGGGGCTTGTTAAAGTACTGGCTGATGGGCCTTCTTTAGAATTCCTGACTCAGAAGGATACCATGAGCCTCAGAATATATATTTCTGAAAACTCTCCAGGTGCTAGAGAACCCCTGGTGTAAAGAATCATCTCTTTCTACTTTAACCAAATTATTTTGGTGCAAGTACTTAATCCTCACCCACCATACTAAGCATATCTGGGAACACAAGATTTTTTTTTTTTTTTGGCAACTCTTGAAATTTATTTTTTTTCTTAAAATTAACTCAATTTTATTTATTTGTATGAGTGTTTTGCTTGCATGTATTTATGTATATGATAGGTGTGTCTGGTTCCTGCAGAGGCCAGAAGGGGTGTGAGATCCCCTGGAACTACAGTTACTGAGGGTGATTAGTGCCATGTGCATACTGAGAATTTGATACAGTCTCCTACAAGAGCAACAAGTGCTCTTAATCACCGAGCCATCTCTCCAGGCTCAGAACGTTAGAACTTAGTGAGGCTGAAGTCATCATTACATCTTTCCATAATATGGAATAAACAACTAGGTTTCAATAAATTCATTCTGATTTTCTGTTTTTCCTGTGTGATGGTCTCCCGTTATATCCCCAGAGATCCTGTAACTCCCTACCTAGCCCAGACTGAACGCAAACTCATAGCAATCCACCTCTGTCCCCTCCGTCTCCTGCTGTTTTGTTTTCAACTCTGGTTAATGCTCAGTTTATCTTCTGCTAGTTTCTCTCAAACACAAATTTTGACAGAGTCATCTGGAATCTAAAAAGGGTTGTCTCCATGTCCGGTTGTGTTCCGTCATGATTCACTCCAGTTTGTTTCCTGAGGATTTCTCTACTAAAGCCTTTCTTCTATGATCACCCAGAAGCTGACCATTTCTCAGTGCCATCTGATCAGACCTGACAGCATCAGCAGTCACTCTTGATCCACCTCTCCTCTTTCTGTGCCTCCTTGTCTGTGCTTGGCACCTGTGTCCTACACTTCCTTTACACATACCACTCCCGTTTCCCCTTCAGAGTCCTCCTGTTTATACCACGCCACTAAGTGAGCAGAGTCAGCAACTGATCTTTCTGTATCCTTTTCTGGTTCCAGCCCTGAGCACGGTTCTACAGCTTGGAGCTATTTCCCCAAACTCCAGACTTGAATACCCAATGTCATTAACACGACATGTCAAGTGTATGTGAAATGGCTTCTAATGGAGGGAAAATAGCTGTAGGCTCTCTGAATGTCTTTAATAATATTACCACTTTTGTACTGGATCTATCAATTATAGATAAAGTTTTTTTCAATGCATTTAGAAAACTTTACTCCAGGTTTTCAGCAGCTCTAAACTGTCAAATATCTAAGGCACCGAAAGGATCATTGTGACAGAACATGCATTTATATGAGGTTGTTTACAATAAGTTCATTTATCCTTTACTAGGAAGATACCTTAATTTTTGTTTGTATGTTGAAGCAAACTATCTTTAAAGTCTATATAATGAAACCACATACAAAATTAACTGAGGTGATTCAATTATTTATTCTTTTTATTGTATTATGCTTAGTGATGTCAATATGTCACCTTGGGGGACCAAGGTAGCAAAGATGCCATTAAAGTACCGAAGAGATTCTACACAAAATAAAACGTGTATTCAACTAGAAAATTCACTAGCATTCAATTTCTGAAAGTTCTCCCTATATGTTACAAATGGTTAGTGAAAATAGGAAGTTAAATCAGATTGTATACTGCATAGTATGTGTAAAGAGACATTTGTTGTTCAATGTTGATAATCTGGGGATCTCAGAAAATATTTTCTGATTTCATATACACATATATATGTACATATATGAGCATGTATATGTGCATTATATATACATATATATATAACTAGTAATATATGTATGGCACTTTCCAGAGAAAATAAATGTAACACAAGGTTTAATTTTTAATTTTCAATTAAAAGGAAATGGTCCACTCTACTAAGAGATCTATCTATCTATCTATCTATCTATCTATCTATTCCTTTTTTTAGTTTGTACTATTTACTTACATTTCTTTGGACTGCTTAGATAATTGAAATGCTTGACAAGAGTGATTTTTCATGTAGAAATATTCTTTTTTCTTTGAGGAAATTTTTAGCATTTTTATTTACCAGCCAAGCAGATAAAAGTAAAAACTGAGGCTGAAGTCCATTTCAATCAATCAAGTTTTGTATATATATACATACATATATATATATGATAGCCTTTACATGATAGACTATTGAAACATAGCTCTTTTAAAATCTCAATTGCAATTTTGTCATATCCAAAAGATTCAAGTTATTAAGGGACAAATCAATTAATTTAATATTTATCTTCAATTAACTTTTGAATTTGTAAATAATAAAAACAATTAACTAGGCTAGAAAGATGCTCCAGAAGTTAAAAGCACTTCTTTCTCACTCATAGGACTGGAATTCAGTTATCAGCCCCCCATATCAGGTGGCTCCAACTGCCTATAGCTTCAGCTCCAGGGGACCCAGTGCCCTCTGGGCTTTGGTAGCACCTGCATGCTTATGGTGCACATGAAATCATACAGGCACACAATACATATAAACAAAAATAAATAAATCTAGAATCATAGTTACTAACTAAATGATAGTTATATGATTCTATGATAATATATGTCTTTTTGTAGAATATAGACCTGTGTAGGCACACACATGATATCTGGTAAACATGCCAGAATAAAATAAAATGCAAAACTTAGACCCTTGAGATTGTGATGGGCACTGAGGTATTGATGATGTTCCTCCATTACAGCATTTCCTGAGTGGGTAGAGCATATCAATGACACTGAGGTGGACATAGGCAGTGACCTCTACTGGCCTTGCGTGGCCACAGGGAAGCCCATCCCTACCATCAGATGGCTGAAAAACGGATATGCGGTAAGTACGCTGAAGAGCCTTGCTGCTCCTGAGTCAGTTCAGGTAGCCACTCAATAGTCACTTGTGTGCTTGGTCACTTCTCAGGGTACTTGGGCCCTGAGACAGAAATCTTCCTTGAAAAACAAAAGTATCTTCTTTCAGTTTCAACAGTTTTCTGTAATGGTATCTCTACCTCTCTCTTTTTTTCCCCTTATTTTTCCTTTGTTCAACATCCCCCCTTCCTATTGAATCATGTCCACTCATATCATTGTCCCCTCTTTACCACTGTTTCCCTGAATCCCACAGAAACAGAGGTAAGAGAGACGTGCTAAGTCCTATCATAACCTTGGGACAAGTGACAGCGGTGGGGTCCTTCTCCATCTTCCCACTATAATCTCACAGCTGGTCCAAAGGGGAACAGGTGGACTCTCAGCTCTGTAAGATGAATAAAACAAGAGCCACTGGGCATGGTAAGTGGGTTGGTCTTCTCCATGCCGTAGAAATCCCATCTGTGCATCTTAGGAGAGAATGGAGGTGGATGCGCACAACATAGGTTAAGTTCTAGCCTAAAGCTGAATGGGAGAGTTTACACCCGTGGTCCTCAATGCCGTGTAATTTCTTTTACTCCTCAGTATCACAAAGGGGAACTAAGACTGTATGATGTGACTTTTGACAATGCTGGGATGTACCAGTGCATAGCAGAAAATGCGTATGGATCCATTTATGCGAATGCCGAGCTCAAGATCCTGGGTCAGTATCCTTTCCAATTTTTGATAAAAATGTTTATCAAACAAACCACATATAAAGCATCCATAGAAGGGTATCCATAGCTCACATTCCGTTTCACTTTTCTTTTATTTAGATGCACAGCACAAGTTGGTTACACAAGCTATAAATTCCCAGTTATCAAAATTCAGGCTAAAGGAACAATGAAACAGACTAAATATTTGCTGTAAAAAGCAACTCCCCAGAGCAGCAGCTGCTGTAACAGCTCTCAGAGCTTGTCACATGTGAATACTCCAGTTCCCACCATCAACCTGCCCAGCAGACCTTTTAATTAGATGCTCAGATGACTTTGACAGGCAGTTGACGTTTAAGAATCACGAGACTAAATGATAGAGTCACATACACACCAGCCTGAAAAGTGTTCCCAGAAGAGATGGGATGCAGATGACTGGAACACACTGTGCCTGCTAATAGCGAAAGGGATTGGGCAGTGGACTAGATGGGGGAGCTTGGAGGACATAGAGCATACCGTCCCTGGGATTATAAAACGCTGGGTCATGACTTCATGATTATGCATCTGTGCTGTGGCTTGAAGATGAACTTCAGCTGTGTCATGGGCTTCTTAACCAGTTATCTGGACCCACTCTTCTCCTAGCTGTCTGTAGGGAGGTCCTGAAGGCCTGGATTTGCTCCTCAAAGAGTGGAGCATTCCATTGGTGCTCAGCGAATGGACATTTAAGTGGGATACCATTATTTACTGAAAGGAGTTTTCACATTCAAATGCCAACAACCTGTGATAGCCTAAAAAAATTATACCAATGTAATAGACTTCAATTCTCTTGTTAGTCACTTGAGGTATCCTGGGAGGAAAGGCGGTGCACATAAGTGAAAATTTATATTGATATAATATTTGTAGTACATGGAGTTCTCACCATCTTTTTCCACTAAGTTCCCTTGTAGAATCAAAACAGAACAATTGAATTCAAGGTGCTTTTTTTGGTGAGCAGGAACATAACATATGATTAAAACTAAAATTTGTAGTGGCTGATAAAGCTATCAGCAATTATCCATTGAGATGAAGAGATGTTATTAAATTATCAAATAAAAGGTTATGTATGCGATGCCCATGAACTACAACTGATCATATTTACCTCAGTCCTTCCTATAGATTATTGATCTATAAAAGAAGCTACAATCCAGAAGCAATATTGGGTTTGATAGCTAACGGACAATGATAATCCTCTGTTTACCTTGTAGCATTAGCTCCAACTTTTGAAATGAATCCCATGAAGAAAAAGATCCTGGCTGCTAAAGGAGGAAGAGTTATCATTGAATGCAAGCCCAAGGCTGCGCCGAAACCCAAGTTTTCGTGGAGCAAAGGGACAGAGTGGCTGGTCAACAGCAGCAGGTCAGGTCAGATTGGGGCAGAGCTGAGGGTCCCTGGCTCCTCAGATTTCACAATGTTACTGTGCTTAGTGTTTTTCAAGTCAGCCGAGTGGCTTCCTCATGGAGTCTCCAAGTTCAATTATTGATTACTATGTTAGTTCATTAATAATTCAGTGTCATCAATCACCTTTATAATAGAGGGTTTATCTGCAAGAATTTTTTGAATGTTGACGATAATATATATTTAATTAAATGAATTTTAAAAGATAAAAGACAAATATGAATTGTTTGAAATTAAAGTCTGAACATTGGTCAATAAGAATAAATATAATTTTATTTGGATGAATATCTCTATAAAGAGTAGTTTAACAAACCAGTGATTTTTGTGCCTGCAGAGTGCCTGTTCCATTTTCATGCTATATGAAGAAGTATATGAAGGAATAAGTATGTCAAGTATGCAAGGCAGAAGTGTAGTCATTTGTCATTACTGAACGGCATGTGGTACCCAACACTTAAAAAGGTGTAGACTGGCAGTGTAGGAAGTCTTTAGCTCCAGGATCCACAATGCCTTGCATCTGGCACTGCCATGGCTATAGCACCATTAGATGATAGGAACTTTTGGGTTCCATTATAGTCTAATGGTACTTATATGAAATCCTGTCACTGAGAAAAATGCACTGGCTGAAATGTCACGGTGTGACATAGGACACTTTGAACATGATAAAGACCAAATTTAAGCACACACATATACATGCCATATATATAATATGTATACTATATACAATGTATTATATATAGCGCCACCTATAATAGATACCATGTATAGTAGTATATACATTATTATAGTCATTATATGATATAGTAATCTATATGACATATATGTAAACTGCTTTGTCCAAAAGTGCTTCTAAGAGGAGTTTTATGTCTACAAGAACTGACCTCACTGCGAAGTCCCCAGATTCCAGTCAAGATGGCATCAGGCTAAAGTCTGTGGCCTTCACAAAACACAGTGCCCAGTTTCTTTGTACAGAGCATGGTACAGTGACTCATTATGTTCCTTCACATTTGGAGAAAGAGGCCTGGTTTCAAATCCTCCTTAGCAACAAAGAAAGACTTTTTGCTGTTGTCTTATTTCAACGCTGCATTTGTTATTCTAAAACAGATTCCAAAGTAAGCTGTAAGTTAGAACTGGATAATGAAAGAGACGGAAGAGAATCTTACTACACATTGGAGCAGAATTTCAACATTGCTTAGTAAGATAGAGATATCCTAATTTTTTTTATCAGACTGTCCTTTAAAAGAACAAATATTTCTATTGTTTTGAAAACTAGAAGATAAAGTTTAGAAAATGATTTAGTTAAAGAAAGTCAAAGAAGTAACAAATATTTAATGTTGAATTTAAGGATAATAGAATGCGAGAGAAGACACCCACAGCCCAGCACTGGGCCAATGGGGAATCCTGCCAAAGAGAGGGAGGAAGAACCGTACAAGCCAGGGTCGGGGGTCAAGGATATCACAAGAAAACTTACAAAAATAACTAGCCTGGGCACACAGGAGCACAAATGAATTTGCCTTGGGATCCTAGTAGTTATCTAGGAAAGTGATGAAGCTTAGCTTCCCAGCACTCCGCCAATGCCAAGAATGAACATTTGATGGAAAGGCTAGACCTTGAAAATGTCTTAAAATGTATTAAGAAGAAACTGGTAGCTTGGCGGTGGTGGCACATGCCTTTAATCCCAGCACTCAGGAGGCAGAGACAGGCGGATCTCTGTGAGTTTGAGGCCAGCCTGGTCTACAAGAGCTAGTTCCAGGACAGGAACCAAAAGCTACGGAGAAACCCTGTCTGGAAAAATAAAAAAAAAAAAAAGAAGAAGAAGAAGAAACTGGTATAAATTGTAATAATAGCATTTGTAATGTAAGGTACAACAGTATTATATGTTATTAAATGAGTTTTATGAATTGTGTGGTTTTTTTTTTACTTTTATAGAATACTCATATGGGAAGATGGTAGCTTGGAAATCAATAACATTACAAGGAACGATGGAGGAGTCTATACATGCTTTGCAGAAAATAATAGGGGGAAAGCCAATAGCACTGGGACTCTGGTGATCACAAGTAAGAAATCATTTGATATTTGAGTCATGTTTACTAAATGATGCTTGAGTTTGCAGTCCTGCATATATACCATTCAATACTAAGGTGCTAATACAATCAATGTAGTGATGAGCTTCCATTTCAGAAGCCTGCTGGGAAAGTTCCCTCCTCTGAGGAGTTCTTACTGGAAATAAATGTGAAAACATCTTATTCTTTTAGAGAGTGGATCAGAATATACTGGGTTTTATTCCTTTTTAAAACATTTTATTGAGTTTGTTCTTTTACAATTTCACACAAGTATCATGTGCACTCTGCTTGTGATAACTGCCATCTCTAACACCCTTCCCACCCCTGTGACCCGCTTCCTCTTTGGAGAGGGAAAGCTTCTAGGCTCAGTTCTAGCTTCATTTCTCTATACCTTTGTAACCAAAGGTATATGTGTTGTTTTTGTCCGTAGCTTTTGCAAACTAGTTATAGTGGCAAGGGTCCTGTGTTATTGGGAATCTCTGGTCCATGCAATAACACATCAAGAGCTATCACTTACCTGCCACCCTTGATTTTCAGGAATAACCTATTAATAATAATCCTAATAATCCTAGACCAGAAGGATAGCTCCCTTGTAACTCTCTCTCTCCTTCTAACTCAAAAATTTATTTTTTAAGTAGTAAGTTTTGTATGTACTTTTCATAGGTCCTTAGTTTTGATTAACCTTTTGTACATTCCTAACACCCATTCCTGATTAGACTTTCTACTCCTTAGATTTCTTCTACTTGTTTTTATATCGCCTGTGACATTCTATATACTCACCCTTAAGGAATTTTCCCATCTCAACAGTCATTTTCTGGTCACCTACCTTAACAGATATTCTAGTTTAAATATAAAAACTCTAAATACTGCCGGGCGGTGGTGGCGCACGCCTTTAATCCCAGCACTCGGGAGGCAGAGGCAGGTGGATCTCTGTGAGTTCGAGACCAGCCTGGTCTACAAGAGCGAGTTCCAGGACAGGCTCCAAAACCACAGAGAAACCCTGTCTCGAAAAACCAAAAAAAAAAAAAACTCTAAATATTTGAAGCTTTGAACCACATATGAGAGAAAATATATGTTTTTATCTTTTTGAGCCTGGGTTACTTACCTTGCTCATTTTTTTTTTCTAGTCTCATCAATTCACCTGAAAATTTCCCATTTTCATTTTATCTGTAGCTGAACAAAATTCTATTCTTTGCATATGCTACACATTTATTATTCATTCAGCAGATTGTGTAAACTAGGCTGATTTCACTTCCTAGCTGGAGAAGCAATAAACGAGGTGTGAAAATATCTGAGGAAAGGAATGTGGAGTGGTTTGGGTATATGCATGCACAGGAGTGGGATAACCAGGTCATATGGGAGTTCCAGTTCTCACTATTTTCTGAACCACTACACTTATATCCATGATGGCTACTCACAGTATGTAAGAGTTCCTTTGTATCTACATCCTTGCCAACATTTGTTGTCCGTTGATTTGTTCATGTAGCCATTCTGACTAGGGTGAGATGGAATCTCATAATAGTTTTAATTTTCATTTTCCTAATGACTAAAGATGTTGAACATTTCTCTAAGTATTTATCAGATATTTTTAATTTCTACTTTTGAGGACTCTGTTCAAAGTGATGTCTTCTTTTTGGATTTAGTTGTTTATTTTCTTGATGATTAGTCTTTTGAGTTCTTTATGTATGCCAAATATTAATCCTCTGTCAGAAATATAGCTGGCAAAGATTTTTTCCTATTCTGTGGGTTCCCTCTTCGTTAGACAAATGACTTACTTTGCTGTATAGAAGGGTTTTTTTTAGCTTTCTGAGATCTCATTTGTCAATTGTTGGTCTTATATCCTGTGCTATCATAGTCCTCTTATAAACTATTTCTTGTTTCTATTCACGTGGAAATCCTTTGCTAATCCTTTCACATCTATCTATCTTTGATAAGGAGGTATTTTCTCAGAGATAGAAAAATGATGGGTGCTGTTTTCCAATCTGTGCAAGCTTATGCTGTTTGAATGGGGACCTAAAAGAGTGGATATTCAAAGTTATTATTAAATGATATGTGTTGATGCGTGCCATTTTGTTAATCTTGTAGTATTTCTTTTCTTGGTCTTCCTCTGCTCAAGAGCTGACCTAACATTGTTTATTTTCTGTTCTAGTTTCTTGGATATACTTATTTTTCTCTTCAATCTGAGATATCCCTCCACTATACTCTGTAGGGGTGTCTTGGTGATAGCAAATTCTTTTAGTCTGCTTTTATCATGGAAAATTTTTCTTTTCCCTTCAATCATGATCTTAGTGATCATAGTATCTGAGTGAGCATAGTTGTCTGGTGAGCATCTGCAGTCTTGCAGAACTTGTAGGACATCATTCTATGTCTTTTAGACTTTGAAAAGTCATCATCAAAAACTTGCCATCATTAGAATTAATGGATATCCCTTTCTTTGTGACTTGGTGTTTCTCTCTTGCAGTTTTTAATACTCTTTTTCTGTACATTTAGAGCTTTGACAATTATATGACACAGGGAGTTTCTTTCTGATACTATTTGGGTGTTTGACTTTTGTTTGTTTGTTTGATAGATCGATTTATATGCTTCTTTCATCTTAGTGGTCAGCTCTTTCCCTGGATTTCAGAATTGTTCTTCTATGAGTCTTTAAAAAAATATATTCCGTTCCTTTAACCTTTATTCCTTTTCCTTTATTTATATCACAGTTTTATACATTTACACTTTTGGCTATACTTCCTTTCTTGGGGAGATGAAGCAACATCTTCCCCTTGGTCCTAATGACAAACTGAGGCATGGTTCTACCAAAGTTCTCTCTTAGGAGCCAATGAGCTTCTTGGGCTTCCTGGGAGAGCATATATGTGAGAAGTTGCTTGCAGGAATGTGGGTGCTCCGACCACAACAGGCCACACCTGAAAAGCCTTTACCTAGTGGAGGTGAGGGCTTCCCATAACCGCAGAGATTTCCCTAGTCTCTCCAACTTAGACACTCTGGCCCTATCTGAGTCACATGCAATGAAGACAGAGATGTATATAACAGGTAGTAGGGATCCGATAACACTCTATGAAGGGTATACACAATCAACAAGCTCAGAGTAGATAATCACTTTGCAAGAGGTACATCTGAACAACCAAAGATGGAGGTCTCTAATCCCAGAGGAAAGTCACTCATAACAGGGCTTTTTTGTCCCAAGACTACATGTTTTTGTTCATGTTTAAAAATTATTATTTTATTTAAAACTTATTATTTTATTTGACAGAGTGATCCAATTCTTCTTCCTTGTCTTTAAGTCTAATAATCTATCTTCTGCTAAATATATTTTATTAGTGAGTCTACTACACTTTTTTAATAGACATGCTAAAGTTTTCATTTTAAGTTTTATTTTAGTTGGGAATTTCTTCAGTAATTGTATCTCTCTATTGAAATATATTTTCATATATCCTGAATTGTTCTCATTTTATTAAGCTGTTTGTGTTTTACTGGCTTTCATTTTAAGATTTACTTGTATTTCCTTTGAGCCATTTAAGCATGTCCATAGTTGTTCTTTTGAATTAGTTGTCCTGTCATCTAAGTTGCTTTCATTGGGGATAATTAATGTGGGTTTGTCATGTTGTATTGGATTTTTTGTTACTTGGGTTTGTGTGTCTGTATGTGCATGTGTGCATGCACATGTGTGTGATCTGCCTTGGAAATATTTAGACTGTTCATTGCATCTTTTAGTATAAATATCTGGCCCACTTTCATTGAATGAGCTTTAGGATCTGAAGTTGTTACCACCCTTAAACCACATTGTAGGGTTTTGGAAGAGCTGCTGGGAGGTACTTGAAGTTCAGTTTTAAGGCCACCCAAAGCTTATTCATAATGGTTAGCAGAGGTCCTCAGGTGGCAGAACTTCTTCAATACCAGATAATATGATGCCTCATAATGTCTTTTAATGTGATTTACTCTTTTTTATTTCAAAACATGCAGATCCCACACGAATCATTTTGGCCCCAATTAATGCTGATATCACTGTTGGAGAAAACGCTACAATGCAGTGTGCTGCGTCCTTCGATCCTTCCCTGGATCTCACATTTGTTTGGTCCTTCAATGGCTACGTGATTGATTTTAACAAAGAAATTACACATATTCATTACCAGAGGAATTATATGGTATGTGTTTTATATTTCATCGTATTAACATCCCAATGATTCTTATGTATCTGCACTAAAACTTCAGTCATGAACCAGAGAAATAGCTTAGCAGATAAGTATGCCACCAAATCTCTGGACCTGAGTTTAATCCTTGGAACTCACATAGCTCCCAACACCAGCTCCCAAAAGTAGCTCTCTGTTGAAAATATACCATAGCTTACACACACACACACACACACACACACACACACACTTAAAAATCCATAAACATAATACTATTCTATAATATTTTAAATTTTTATGATGTGACATTCATGTAAAAAGCTTCTAATTTTTCTTAGATTAATCATGATACTCTGAAACATTTGTAAAGGACTAGTATTGAAGTGTCTGGGTGTAATATTCTCAAATATGTATTGATCTTTAGGTTTATTTTTCTATTATATGATTTTTGTATTGATGTGAACTTTACCCAATTAAATTTGTACCAGAGAACCCATCAATTTCACTCTAATTCGAATGAGAGAAAGCATTGAACTTACTCCAGGTTATATTGATTAATTTAAAGTTATTTATTTCATTCTGTGGAGGTGAAAAATCAATGAAATGTTTGTGTTTCAAGACATGAACAAGTCTGTGTGGCTTGAAATAGATGAAGTGGTTAATTTTTAGACTTGGAAATTGTACATTCCACAAACCTTGTCATTTAACACAGCCGCTAGAGGGCAGAGAGAATGCCAGGAAGTAATGCAGGGGATTGACCTCCATAGAGACATCACTGGGGGTGTGGACACTGCTGAGGCCATAAGGGTACACCCACTCGTGCTTCCTTCTCCTCTCTGGAAAGATTACTACTTAGGAACTTGTGTATCTGGCACATGTCCTTAATTATGAAGATGTGTTGAGAATGGGAATTACGTTTGTAGAAGGGGACCAATAAGACGGCACAGGACACAGAGAGCAAGGTAGTGGGGGATATAATCAAAGTACAGTAATACAAATGTATGAAACTATAGTGAAACTTTTATTTAACATTTAAATGATAGAAACAAAGTCAATTAGAACAAATGAAAATATGCTGATCTGGTAAGTATGCCTTGAACATCAGCACTTGGGAAGCTAAATCAAGAGAATCTTAGATTCTTAAGGTTAGAGGCCAAAGTGGGCTACATAGTGAGTCCCTGTCTCAAGAAAAAAAATAGAAACAATCATAAAAGGGAAAAAGAAAACACTAACTTCAAAACCAGCTATTAATGTATGCACAAGCTTGAACCAACTCAATGGGATATTTCAGAATTTTTACATCACATGAAATCTGAATAAATGTTTATAAATTATAATACCATTATGCTTCAGGTTGACCAGATGCCTGTACTTCATTTGTCTAGGGCTTCTTCTTCAAGTAGAGTAAGATGTTCTTTAACTAGACAGGGACATTTCTAGATAGTTGCACTGTGTTCAGAACTCTCTCAGTGTGCATGTGATGCCCCTGCATGTTCACTGTAAAGTCCAGTTCTTTACTGGCACTGGCCAAAAAAAAAAATCAATAGTAGATGTGCAAATTTGGTTTCTGAGCCGAAACTACACTTAAACTTAATATAATTGACAGGGAACAAAATATGTTATATTTTGATCTTATAAGTGAAACTTTTATGATGCTCTTAATATAACTTGTCTATCATTAGTTAAACTGGAACTATAATCTTTATCAGTTTAATAATTCTTTACATTATTTGGTAGTTTTTGAAAGACAAGTCCCCCCCCAGTTTTTAATGAAATCAATAAGTCTTAAATAGAGAAATGAAGTTTCCAGTTCACTTATTCTTGGTGTAATAAATTGAATAATTTCTGACCTACCACCTTGGAAGATGACAAGCAGAGCTTGTAATAGCTGTAATAAGCAGTAATAGCTGTGGAGCTTACTATCTTCAAGGAAGTCTATATAAATAGATTTGGGAGGTATAAATTACCCTAATTATGGTGAAACTTCACATTTACAGCCTAGGTACATTCTTTAAAATAATAGTTACCCTGGGTTATTTGACACTAATACCCACTATAACAAAAGTTAGTTGAAAAAGGAAAAAAATGAGAAAAAGAAATAGAGGAAGGAAATGGTTGTTATACTAAAGGAAAAAAATGAGAGCCTAGATAGGGAATGAGTTGTTGAGACTGTGTCTGCTCCATCTGCACAGGGCCATCACAGCGGGCAGTAAATAGCGGGCCCTGGGCTGGTCTACCGAGTGCTTGCCGGTAGTGAGCCCCAATTGGGATTCTTCAACTCAAGTGGCTACCATCAGCTAACAGATAAGCCAAGACTGTATTTTCTGGAAAAATATGGGACAAAACTGAATCACATTAGCAAATGTCCACTATTGGCACTTCAAAAAAAATAGAGTTAAATTCATAAAAATAAAGTCTCACGATAAGAGTGGCCATTGTAATTAAATAAATCCACTTGTTTTACGTCCCAACCATTTTTGTAAAGTGAGTGATCAGAGCAATTCTCTTCTGAACCTCCAAAAGTCCAGCAAAGGCTTCTTAGTGTCTTCCGTTCTCAACAAAAAGTCAGTGGCAACCTCACTACTGAATGGCATTTAAGTGAAAGTGTCAGAAATGTGTCTCAGCTGTCTTTCAGGGACAGCCCTCATGGCTAGCCCCAGCTTCCGGGTTTGTTGGGAAAACTTCCACCTGAGACTTAGAGAGTGAAAACACATTGGGGACATCGGTGGGGTGGAAAAGGCACAGATGGCTGTGATTTTCTGTTGCTCAAACTTGCACAGGAAAAAAAAAATGTCCCTTTGGCTATCTCTTAAATAACATATGACATTTTTCTTAATTTGGGGGATGATTCTGATATAGGGAAAGAATGGACTGGCTTTACCTATGCCATAAGACTAAGGCAAAAGAAACACTGACAAGCAAAGTTGTATACAAACAAAATTTATAATTATATGTCTATATAATTATACAAAAAAATCAGAGATACGGAGTCTAAAATGCAACAATGGTATCATAATGTTCAATAATTACTTCCAATGACTAATAATAGAAGTGGTTAATACTAAAAATAATCTAGACATAAAATTTAATTTTTATTACATGAATTTTCATTTCCCATTCAATTTTTTTAAAAAATCATTTAAAAATCAAGCTTGCTTTGACTGATCTTTGGGCTGACGAGGGAGGGGGACTTGATTGGGGGATGGGGAGGGAAATGGGAGGCGGTGGCGGGGAAGAGACAGAAATCTTTAATAAATAAATAAATTTAAAAAAAATCAAGCTTGCTTTATTCCAGCTTGCTATTTCCAGTTTTGACCACTGAGTGGCAGCCGTGCGTAAGGTTTGAGGATTCACGGCCCAGACTAATTTAAGCACCAATCTTGAAGCAAATACATCTCATCACATTTCCTACTACACAGTGAGGTGATACACAGTGCTACGTCTCACTGTAATTCTTTTCTTTGTGGAGTCCCATAAGTACCAGAAGGAAAGTCACAAGGCATTACTGTCCTTTTGTATGCTTTTATGCTGTCGCTAAAACAAAAGGACAACTAACACTGTCCTATCATTAATGGTGCTATTCTATGTAACATTTTGCATTAAATTTGCTACTTATTCCTTTATAGATTTAGTTAAAACTCACAGAATATTATGCTTTATGCAACAATGACTAGTAAATGTTTTATTTGTGTTTGAACAAAATTCATGTCTAGATAAAATATTAATAAATTAGCTATTTAAATTAACAGTTTAATACAATAAGTGATTAAAACAATTTATCTACATTATATTATTCTGCTAAGGGTTAGTGGCAAGTAATTATCTATTTTCAACATCCAGTTATAAAACTACTGCAATTTTTGTTTTCGAATTTAACAGGCACTTTCTGAAAGTAAACATACCACTAAAATTAATTTTAGTAATAACTTATGTTATAACCCTTCTTTTTCTAGAAAGATCTTAAAGTTATCTATTAAGATTATATATGTACATTCTATATAATATAATACATAGACTGTTTTATAATATGTACATAAACACTGTGTAGTCATAAACACTCTATGTATTCATATATATGACATTTATCAATCATCTGTGGTGGCAAATGATTGGCAAATATTTAGTTGATGAACAATCTTATAAAATTATATTTTGTGTATGTTTGTGAGTATGGGAACACATGTGCTATGGCACATCTGTGGTGGTCAGAAGACAGCATTCAGGAGTGAGTTTTGCACCCTAAGGCAGGGTCTCTTCTTATTTTCCCAGATGCACTGCCTTCTGCAGGCTGTCTGACCACCAAGCTTCTGTCCAGTACTATGTCCGTCTACCCTCTCACTCTAGCAATACTTGACTGTTGGAAGCCCGCCACTGCATCTGTCTTTTTATGTCGGCTCTAGGAAACACACTAAGGCCTTCAGGCTTCCGTGGCTAGGGCTGTTACTCACCAAGACACCTCGATGGCCCATAGCTGCCTAATTTTGACTACTGCTTTGGATCATTTTCCTTCACTGGTTTTGTGATATACTCATTGTCTCGGTAACTCTCTGCATGAATACACCAGATTAATGAACTCTCCTATATCTTCCTGATTTCTTTCCTAAGATGTTGAAAGTTCAGTCTAGTAGGAAGTCCCTAGAGGTTTGAGAGAAATTCAAAGATACCATCTGAGTCCTCAGCGCCTCTGTCCAACTTCACCTGACAATAGTCAACTTTTACACCTTTACCCTACACTCTTTTACACCTGCTTGTTGAACATCCTTCCATCCTATAAAATGCTACTTTATTAATAGGTTTCCTAAACCAATTTCCTCAGAGCACTTTTACAAGGATGATGGGATGCTTATAACCTGCTTGATAGTGAATAGTCATCCCTGTTGACTATTTTGGTAAATTGTGTGATAGAGCAATTGTTTCCCACTTAAAATTCTATAAGTTGTTTTTCCACCTCTCTGTCATTAGATCTTAATTTCAAAATTTACATCAGTGATCAGTTTACTGGGCACTAAGTTTGA